TTTTGTTGGCACTTTTCGTATATGCTCGTGTATGCGGGATGTTGCCAATTTGTGTCCTTTTAATGAAATTGTAGTTATTAAAAGGTACGAAAAACTGATGATTTTTAAAATTGTATTAGTGTTATAGTTTTTAATTTATTAAAGTGATGTAAGTTGCCCACACTGCAAAAAGTTTTTAGCTCTGCCCCTGATGCTCGGCACGTGATGTTTTCGTAAGTTATTTATCGTTGAATTTGTTCTTCAAATTCAATTGTCAAATTTTATATTTTAATTTGACCCATTCTGAATAAAATCCATAAAAAAATTGTATGTTGTACACTGAAACAAAAAGTGCGGAACTGAGAGTGAAGTTCTAGAGTCCCCGTAAGGGACAAGAGAGTGGGTGGTTCACCAATAATGAACTAGGAAATCGAAGTTTTGCATCAGGTAAAAAAATTCTATTTATTCTCTTTCTTGTTGATTTAATGTCTTGAAATTTTGGTTGCACCAAATAGGTTTAAAACCAAAGCAATTCGAAACCATTTTGCCGATTTCAAGTCGTTCCAACTACAAATTAATCTACCGGAGTTCTCAACTCCTGAAGTTAGGAGGATTCAAGATTCTAAAGAGCTATATACTCTTCTCGCAAGAACCTCTCTACCCAAGCAAAAATTCCATCAAGCGTGGCAGCACTTATCGCAAAAATTTAACGGGCTAAAACATGGGTGTAACCAAAACATGCTGCAAATGTTGCCTGGATACTGCAGTTACTCTCAAGAAAGTTGATGATGCACAAAATTGGTTTGCACACCAACTGTCAATTAAATATTATAAAATACAGCAAAGTAGAGAGAGAGAGAAGACAAGGTATATAGTGGTTCGGTCAATATAATCTACATCTATTTTGAATGGCAAGGGTCATTGGTATTATATTAACTCTGGTGTGTAGAGAGAGTAAAGAGTTACAAGTTTTGAGAGGGAGATGAGAGAATTATACTCAAATGAGTGAGATACCTCCCAAGTGTTGGTGAGACTTACAATTTAAAGTGTCTTAATGTAGTAATTGAATAGTTAGTTTGACGGTCATAATGAGTTGAGGCCGTTTAATTATCATAACGCATTGGAATGACTTTAATAGTAATTAAATATCTTGACGACCTCTTCTCTCCTTAAAGGGCAAGGAAATTATGATGCTCTCCAAAAGAATTGGTCAAAGGATGAAGGAAAGTTGACTCTCTCCAAACGGCGAAAGTGAGGTTTCTAGATGATCCCTTGGTGGCGTAGCTCCTTGATGAGCTTGACTGACTTGAACCTCTACTCCAAGGTGGTGGAGAAGACTTTTGGATGATCTTGCATGCTCCCTTACTGATGTAGCTCTTTGATCTTGTTGAACTTCTTCGAGTTGACTACATTGAGCTGAACTTGTTGAATCTTTTAGAGATAGGCTATAACTTCGGACCGGACTTATAATTTGAGTTAGGCCCTTGGTGTTGGCCATCATTTGCCCTGCATCTAACAAAATTTGAAAAAGAGGGCATTGAGTTTGATTTTGAATTTTGGAAAAGAAGGCAATTTAGTAAAGATTAAAAACGCTCTAACAGGTAAAAGTTTGACGGAAAATTTTGTATGACTTCATGGGTGACGGTATCACGTGGTGTACGTACTTAATGAGAATTTATTATAAAATTAATTTATGGGACACAAAAAGTAAACTTTTTTAAAAAATACTAACAAAGTGACAAAAGATATTCATTCATTAGGAATGTAAATTATTTTGTTGGTGATGTAAACTACTTGACATTAACTTTAAAACGTGATGTGTTAATTCCACATAATTTCTCAAAAAAAATATATGAACACACAAAAAAAGATACATTGGTGGAGTCTATTTTTTTGTAATTCAAGGTCTTAAATTTAATTCCTTCTCACATTCTGTAAAAGTTAGTCACTCTTATTTTTTTGGATACATACTCTAAATTAGTTTAAATTATAGTGACCAACTATTAAATTTAAAAAAATAATCAACACAAACTTAAACGTTTTATAATATATTTTGCACAATGAATCGTTATTTAGATAGCCATTGTCTGTTGCTTCAATTAGCCTGCCGTACCCCCAGTCACAGGCCCCCAAAGCGGACCCCCCATTCTCCACCAGAAACATTCGCGTACACAGGGAGCAGCCATCAAAAACTTATGGACCAGACTAGGGTACGGAAATAGAATTGATTACGGGACCAGATTATGGTACTATATCGAAAAGTTATCACTTTGTCAATTTAAGACAAAATTATAATATAAATGGGAACTTTACAACTACAGATAACATTATAATATTAATGAATAATTTATAACAACTAGTAGACAAAATTAAAAAATTTTAATTCGAATTCGTGTGATTTTATTGTTATGATTTATATTTGAATCCGTCAAACATTAGATATTCGATCGCATATTGGATCTAATTTGATTTAACAAGTTTTTAGTGTGTATTTTTTACCAAATAAATCTAATTTAGTGTACCCTTTACAATTTACCCTAAATAGAGATAACTTACCACGAGCACGGCCTTTACATGTTGTTTGGTGAGATGTTGGATACCTGTTGTTGGCTCCTTGGCTAAGCATAGCATGACATAAATGAATTCTTGATAATCCATGTTAACGGTCGGCCTAATATTCACCATTTTACTGTTGAATTTTAAAATTATAGGTTTGAATCTTGACGTCCTCTTTCCTATAATAATGTCTAACCAAAAAAAAAGAAAAAAGGTCTTGATGGTTGGTGTTGGCTGGATCAAGATGTTCATCAAGTAGTTGGGTTGCTGTGAATGAAGTATTTAAAGGGTCTGTTCTCTATTTAATATTTATAGGTGGTTCTAGTTGGGTCTATTTTTTGGTAACGCAGAGATTTCAGGTTCAATTTTTTTTTTCAGACACTCTAAGGGCTAGCCACCGTTACCTTTTTAGAGATATGCTCTAGACCAACTCAATCTATGGTGTTAATTGCTGAGCTCGAAGGAGTAGTCGGCGCAAGCTCAGACAACCTATAACAGACTATCTGTGTCGAGACTAGAGTATTTATGAGGACATCTCAATTTACAGCTCGTCTTTATTATCACTTGAGTTGTCCTTAAAATTATAATATTAATATTTTATAAATAAAATATGTAAATAAAATTAAAAAGAGAGTTACGTGTACTTACTTAAAAAGAGACGAAAGGTATTACAGCCATTTTAAAAGTGGACTCCAAACGCCTTGTTTTTCTTTGATTATCATTAGTTGCCTGCACTGGCAACATGAGCAAACCATTCTTCTACTTACTATCTCTATATCTCACTAACTACCTAACTAACTATACATTTATAAGAAAATCTTATTTATACCTAATTTAATAATTATATTTAGTGACTTGATGGATCATAGTCATTGAATTGATAATGAATTCTAACTAATAGTAGGGTTCATTATCAATCTAATAATAGAAAATGAAAAGATCACTAAATAATATCACTAAAAAAACTCATATTTATAACATGCATAGATCAAACTATCTTACTAAAAATAAATTTTAGTGTATATCATAGCTTTTTTCATTTACGCAGATAACTCTACTTACTATTACATACTTATTTGTATATAAGAAGATTCAAGCTGCAATATACAAATTTTCACCCAAGCGTGGCTGTGCTAGAGCTAGCAGTGGGTGAGCTAGAGAGTGATCAGTCTGTGCCTCTCTGAGGTCAACACTAGACACACAGGGTGGAAACTTCCAAGTGAACCCTTGAAGAAGCCTAGCCAAAAGAATGGCAGTCATGGTAGAACCCAATGTCACCCCCGCACACCCACGCCTTCCTGTGCTAAACGAAAACATCTTCAGCTCCGGGTCAGAAAGCCCCACCTCCGAGCCAGCGTCCTTCAGGTGGCGCTCCGGCTTGAACTTGAGTGGCTCCTCCCAAACTCTCGGGTTTCGGCCGAGTCCCGGTCGGCTCAGCAACACGTGACTACCCTTAGGGATGAAGTAACCGGCGACGGTGGTGTCTGCGAGGGACACGTGTGGAACATTGAAGGGTGCAAAGGGGTGAAGCCGAAAGGCTTCTCTGGCGCATGCTTTCACGTAATTGAGGTGTGGCAAATCGGACTCTTGGACTAATCTCTCTTTTCCAACCACTCTGTCTAGTTCTTCTATGGCTTTTTCAATGGTCTGGGGCTGATTTATCATCTCTGCAAGTGCCCATTCGACGCCATTTGATGGATTGTCCACTGTTGCTATCATTAGTTCCTGTGAAGTACACCAACTAATTAACGCTATTTTGTGAAACCAATATTCTTTAACGATATTGCACCGATGCAAAAGCTGCACAACAATACTCTTTTTGTTTTTTTAGCAATGCTGCGTAGACTTAAAAAATAGATTTAAAAATTATACTTGATAATTTTAATTATTAATTTTACTGTGGGTCCTAATATTTATTTAAACTCATTACTATTCAATAGTTAAAATTATCAAGTCTAATTTTTAAATTCACCTAACATTTCTCTTTTTTTGACCATAAAGTATGAGATCAATGACAAATATTGGGTGTAATCGACACCACGTCAGTTGTGTAATTGTCTACTAATAACTATCACTCGGTGTAATCGTTCATTAATAAGTAAACAATTCCACAAAAATTTGTAACAACTTGTAATGCATAATTACATCCATAATAGAAAATGAGTTTTATTTATCTATTTTTGTAGTTTTTTTATTAAATCGTTACACCACATTAATATTGTTGATATAATATAACCGTTACACCTAATATTTACTTAAAAAGAAAGAAAATGCTATTTAAACTTAAAAATTTGATATAATTTATTGACTTAATGACGTGGCTTTATTGGAACCATTAGATTCACATCAAGTTCAAATGTTTGAGGAAGTCCACAGTCAATCCAAAGCTCATAATGAATTAGGTCAATAAATTAGGTCTCAAAAGCATTACTCTAAAAAGAATATGCAATATTAAGTAGTCATAGTTAATTTCGAATGCCATGTTTAACATTACTACTCTCATGTGAGAGTGTGTGTTTGTACGAGAGAGAGAGACTTACAACAATCTGGGCTTTGATCTCTTCAGCTGACAACACTGGTCTACCATCTATATCCTTGAGAGTAATCAGAACATCAAGCAAGTCTTCTTTTTCCTTCTTACTACCTTCCGTCCATTGCCCAATTCTTTGGTCAATTTCAGGATCATGATATTTTCTTACAGTCCCAAGAGCTTTCTTCATAATCTTCACATGCCCATCTATGTCAAACCCTCTTAAACATGGTAAATAATCAGAGATACCAAAAGCATAAAGGTACCTAAGAATGGTGAAAAGCCCGGCGACATGCTCCTCCTCTTCAACCCCTGGTCCTCCATCTTCCATTCCTTTTCCGAAAAACCTCTTTCCAAATATCATTTTCCTTATCACATTTCCACAGTAATGCTGAGTAGCAATTCTCACATTCACTACTCCGCCTTCCATGGTGATTTTGCACTGGTTATACACGTAACGAACAAGGTTATCAGCTTCTTCGTCTCTTTTGCCTTGAAGCCACCGGTGTTTCGCCTGAGAAAGCACCTCAGAAGCGAGGATTCTCCTCATTTTTTTCCATTGTTCGCCGGAGGGGACTAGAGCTACCGATAAGTATCCGTTACTAGCAAGATCAGCGGCCATGCAAATAGGTCTAGATGAGAAAATAGCATCTTGTTTCTTCAAGAACTCTCGTCCCAATTCAGGACTAGTAACTGTAATAACATGAACTTTTCCTAGACGAATACAAGCTATTTCAGTGTTCATTTCATCCATAAGGTTGTGTATCCATTGGGATATTGGTTTGTTTGAGAGCATTTCGGGGAGATTTCCAACTATCGGCCATGGTTTTGGGCCAGGAGGAAGTGGTAATTTGCTCTTGTTACCAATGGGTTTGGATTTGTTCTTGACAAAAAGAAAGAACAACAAAGCCGTGAGAAGAACAGTAGAGAAGGAAAAGCTCAAAAGAATTAATGGTAATTCAATTGAGACCATGTCTTGAGAGCCCTGAAATAGGGTTGAGGAGTTGAAGGAAGTGACTAAGGTGTTATTGTTGATCTTCATGATCTTTTGTGCTTTGTGTGATTGCCTGCTGGCTCAGAGAGGGGTGTTGTAATGGTTGCTTGTGTGCTTGCTGGTTCGTAGTATTGGCTATAGCCTTTTTATACTAGTTTGTGCATGAAAAGGACAGCGTGAATCAATAGTGAAACCTGAGATCCTCAAGTCACTTGTGAAACACGTGATCCATCGAAGACGTGGCCAAATGACTCGACTGTTGACTTTCAACAGTTATGGTCGTTTAAAAATTGGATTGAAATTACACCCCATACACCATTTTATAGAAGTTAAATGCCATTGGACCTTTACATACGAAGTAATGATAATGCGACCTATAAGTTTAACATGATTTAATAATGTGCTATTTGATATAGTCCAATATTTGATGTAGAAATAGGTTAATTGTCATGCTTTCAAAGCACAATCAAAAAAATAAATAAATAATAATTAAAGACAAAATGAGTTAGACTCAGAATTCCGTAAGACTAAAGGTGTTTGATTCAAATCAAACAAACAGTCAGAACTCATTATTTTGCCATGTACCCCTTCAACTTTAGGCTGAATTCCATCGTTTAAGTTCTCAAAACTTCATTTTAATCGTTTCAAGAAAGATTTTGTAAATTAATAATAAATCATATTAGATTTTGAATTCAACGCTGTTAGTTTTGTTAGGCTTTAAACGACACGTGCTTTTATGTTAATTCAAAAAATCACATATTTTTATTTTTTATAATTTTCATAATGTTAGCGATTTTGCTTTGGTTACGAGAACTGTTATAGTTTTGACCATTCCTATTTATACTACTCATTTGTACTGCAGATTATTCATTCAATAAAATCATATTTTACAGTTTTATCTATTATCTATGTGGATTCATAGTTTTCTTTTTGACTGGATACATAAAGAATTGTAATATTCTTTGTGCTCCATATTTCTCTGTGTTAGTTGTTGTAATTATAATTGTCGGCATTCTTCATTCTAAGTATATTACTTGACACATTACTAGATTAGATATTTAAATCAAAAAAAATAATATTCTTAAAAGAAAAATACTAAATAGACTTAAAAATCTTACCAAAAATACTAATTTAATGATGATATGCTAGTTGATATGATTCATTTGCAAAATAACAATAATATTATTTAGATCTATTTTGTTGACCAAATTCAACACAATTATTTCAATAGTACTAAGTCTCACATAATATTTGGATTTACTATCAATTTAATATGTGATTGATTAAGTCAATAAATTGGATTAATAAATTAAATTTAAGTAACATCATATTATTTTTTTTGGGTAAATAATAACATTATATTATTTGATAAGGGGGTTGACACCATTCAATAGCATTTTTCTAGTTGCAATTATTAGCATTGTTTATAGAGACTATATCACTCAACACATCATCATGTTAATTAATTAGATTAAAATTTTAAATTATATAAAAGTATTATTTATAATTATAATTATTAAATTTTGTTAAGAGAATTATATCACTCGATACGTTGTTAAATTTAACCTATTGATCAGATTTTTAGGCTAATATTATTTATCAAATGAAATAAGTTTTACATAAAATTGGTCGTTCCAACTTCCGACAGCCTCGGGGATTATTGTAAACGGATTTGACGCATGTGATAGGTCTGTTTTTTTTTTTTTTTGAAAAGTAGATTTGAGGCATGTTGTCGGTTAGAAGATGTGGGCTGAAATTATTTGGAGGCGTATTCTGTTGAAAAGAATTCAAACAAGACTGCCCCATTCTCACTAAATATCCAATGCAAATATCATGTTATTACTATTATCACGTAATTGTATTTTTTAATTACAAAATTTTAAAAGCGATGCATACCTAGTCTTTTATATCAATTGAATTGTTTTATTCTATTTGTAAAATTTTCTTTAAAAGTTATGATTTCAAAAATAAATCTAAACCAATCACTAAAATAAATTGTCACGTTTTACAAAACATTTAAGAATAAGACGAACACAAACCATGAAAGGAGGGATTTGCGTTATTGGAGAGAGAGAGAGAGAGAAACTCTCTACCAAACCTTAATCCTAAATCTCAGATGTTTCAGAACATCTAGTGGAGAAAATAAAGTTGCACTTTTCAAGGAAAAATAATGAAAAATAATGAAGATGGTCATCACTTATGAATGAGGTGTATGACCAGTGCGTCGACTTAATCACTAATAATTTTTACATTCAAAAGTACCATGCACGAATTAGTTGGGTTCACTTATCCTATTTATTTATTATTAGTCGGTTATATTTTGTGATGAGAGTGACATGATATAACCAGTACATTGAATATTTACTTGTAAAAGATAGAAATGTAATTGATGATTATTTTCGTATACGTTACCAACACTGGGGTTTTGTCCTTAAAAATTGATTATTGGTTCTGTTTCATTATATATATGAAAATAGATTTTATATGGGCCAACTTAAAATCTCTTCCATGGGATTCTAAATAATTTCGAATTTCTTCCTACCACACAAGGCAGATAATGATAATGTGAATTGAACCATAGTTTTCATATGGTTCAAATCAAATGGAATGTCCGAACAAAAAAAGGTTTACTTGCATGTCTATTTTCTTTAATTTCCCATTCATGTGTAAACGTTTTTTTTGAAGTATGTGGTGGTGGTGTAACCATATTAAACGATAAATTTTATGCCAAACTTTCACGCTAAGACCATTTTCAACGGGGCGGCTTAAGTCAATTTGAGATCTAAAACGGAAATATTAAATAAATATTTTTTTATTTTTAGTATTATTTTTTTAAAAAAAATTAATTTAGTTTTAATTTTTTATGTGAGAGGGAGACAAAAAAATGATGTTTTAATATTGTCGAGAAAGAAATTTCAACTTTTGTTTTTATTTTTTATCACAGAGAGGGAGAGAGAATATTTGATTTCAACTTTTGTTTTTGTTTTTTATTTTTTTATACCGTAGAGAAAGAAAGAGAGAAAGTGGGTGTGAGTAAATATGAGTTGACTTTTTAGTATTTTATTTTATTTTTTTAATTTCTAAATTTTTGATGTTATGGATTGGATTATAAACCCAAATTATTGTAATAAAAATTTTAATTGGATTTAATTTTTTGGGGGATTTTTTGTAGGGCTTAAAATTTAATAGATTTAATTTTATTTTTTTTGTGGGTTAATGATATACCTAAAATTATGAGATTTTTTTAAAAATTTGGGGCGTAAAACCCATATTTTTGTTTTTAGGAAATTTGGAGGCCGGTTCCCCTATATGGAATTGTCTGGACTTAAATCCGTCAAGAAAACTTATTTGTTATGAAATCCATTTTTTGTTAATTTTACCATACTATCCCTTCTCTTTAGAAGTAAAATAAAACTAAAAATTAAAAACTTTTAAATTTTAGGAGTTTGACTGACATTAAAATCTTTTCTCTTTTATATCTATCTATATCTATATATAGGTTAAGAGTTTATATATATATAATAACATTAAAAATAAAAAATATTAACATTCAAATACAAAAAAAAGTTATCATTTGAACATAAAAAAATAATACATTTAAATACAAAAAAAATAGTAACATTCAAACATAAAAAAATTGAAACATTCAGTATTAATAGTTTTAAAAAATAACATTAGCAACATGTTCAACAAAAAATACTAACATGCTTAACAAAAATTGTAATATATTTAATAATAATTATTTCTCTCAAATTCAAACGCAAAAAATAGTACCATTCAAACACAAAAAAAATAGTAATATTCAAAAAAAAAAAAATAGTAACATTGAATATTAATATTTAGGATAATAATATTAGTAACATACTTAACAAAAAAAGTAACATGCTCAAAATAATAGTAACATAATAAAAAAAATAGTAATATGAAACATTCAATTTAACAAATTAACCCCTACAAAAAATACCACAAATTACAAAAATAAAAAATTAACAAGGACTAGATATTCTTATCCGTTACCCACAAAATTGACATAATTCATAGAAAATTAAAGATGAACATTGATGAAACAACGCCACTAGCTGGTTGGAGAGAGAGAGTGAACTTTGAATTTGAATTTTAAATTTATGATGAAAATTTTATTAGCATATTTTAAATGACATTGAATTAAGAGATAACTATATCCAAAATAAGAAATTAATGTAACTTCCTTTCAAAAAATTATATTTTGAGATAAAAAAAAAGTGGATTTAAGTCATTACATATAATTTTAAATATGGACTTAGTTTCTTATAAGTTTCTTTGCAGGATTTATCTCCAAACAAGTACAACTAGGAAGACTCACTTCTAATTTTCATTTTTTTTTCCATACTGTTGCGCCGGCCTTGATTTTCAATGGAAACCTTTCGTTTTTTTTTAGGGGAGGAAGAAAGGGAAAGGGGACTTGAACCCTTGATTTCAAGAAGATAAAATCTTTACAAGACAAATAATATCATTAGACCAAAAACTTATTAATCTTTAGTATAGACATTTTCTTTTAAGAAACTCAAATTTAAAAGAAGAGAAATTTAAATTTAAATGAGGATAAAATATGACAATTTGATGTTTTAAATATTGTGAAATCACACAATTAAAAATTTGGGTATAGATTTGAATTTTCTTGATTTGAGTTAAAAAAAAATCTTTCTTAATTTGATATAGATATGTGGAGAAGGTTTTTAAAAATTTTTTGTTCAAATTTAAATTTGAACTTAAAAGAGGGTAAGAATTGAAGACGCTCTGACGAGTAAGAGTTTGACATAAATTTTTGAATAGGTTTGTGGGTGACAATATTGCGTGGTGTACATACTTAATGAGAATTTATCATAAATTAAGTTGTGGAACACACAAGTTAACTTCTTTTAAAAAAATTTGACAAAGTGATAAAAGATATTCATTCATTAGGAATGTAAAATATTTTATTGGTGATGTACTCCACTAGACATTAACACATGGTGTGTTAATTCCACACAATTTCTCAAAAAAAAAAAAAATTATGAACACACATAAAAAGATACATATAAAATCCTTAAGAGTGATTGAGCCTTTTTTTTTTTTTTTTTATTTTTT